CCAGTGGCGGATGAAGGTCTCTTGCGTGTTCGGTCTTTTCAGCGCGCAGAGTTATTCAATTTAGGTTTAACTCAATCTGACTCCATTTTATTATTTCATCTGACTCCATTTTAGTATGACCTCGAATGTAGGTTGAAAGGCAAATTGGTTGTTTGTCGGTCTCTAATTATTCTGACATTTGATTATTCTAGTTAACTCTTTACTTATATTTTACTCGTTGATTAGGAATCTATGTCATTTAGGATGCCTCACGGCGGCCCCCAGCGACTTAAGACTGGTTTTGTGGTCCAGAGTCACATATTATGAAAGCAATTTTAAAGTCAAGCTGGCACGAGGAAAATGTATTTCACATGAAATCTATGAATAGCGTGACTCACTGCATTTCTCTGCTTTCTCGTGTTGTTTAGGTTCGAGACGTGACGTTGCTCATAGCCAGCTACATTAACTGCACACAACAACAAAAAGCAGCAGCGCACCACCTGTCCACCCCAGCCCTGCTGCTGGCTCTATCTGGAGAGATGAAGAAGAGCAAGTCTCCTCCAGCCGCCTGCAGACCCAGCAAAGCACCCACCCTCCTTTAAGTATACAGCATGTGTTGGTTTTCACTCAGGACATATGTCAGTCCATTCCCTAGTTGACTAGTTGATCCCAGTTCAAAATCCCTGGCTAGTGTCCAAAACCATATTTACAATACACCGGTTCACATCAAAGGGAATCTGAAAATGAAATAAGAGACGTATTTCTTTAACTCATCAAATACTTCCCATTTGTGGCTGAGGGTGACATGACTGACAGTAGTCCTCAACATTAAAATGGGTGAGATCTCATGAACGTCCAAGTCATGTTCCACCCCAAAAATAATCAAAACAAATAGTACTTTGCATATAGAAATGAAGTGTACTACTTTTGTTGTTTTTGTTTGTTTGCACTGTGACATGTTTTTATTAACATTAGTCATTAACATATTTTGTCCAGACATTGTACTTTTTGAGTTTTTTTTGTAATGCACATTCTCAATTCTCATATGTATGTGTGTGTGTGTATACAAAACACGGTGTAATTTATTATTGATGCTGACTTTTACAAGTAGACAGAGGTTTGTACAGTATTGGTGTCTTTTAATTTGAATCATGAATTATGGTAATGCAATTTTTTGGTTGAAATGTGCATAATTGTCAAGAAAATGTCAAAGGATCTTAATTTTTCCCTAAGCCAAAAAAAACAAAAAACAAAACTTTTGAGTTGGGTATGAAATATGACCAGACCTGTTCTTCAGTTTTCATGAGATTCACCCGAGATACTTCAATTTTAGTGGAGTTTATTTTTCAGGCTTTACCAACAATCTCTTTTGCAAGGAATTAGGGCAGTGGCAAAAAATTAAAATCTCAATTTTTTTCAGAACGTTTGACCGATTCTCGATTTTTTAACTAGTCAACTTGTAAATTTAACTGCAACATGATTCAAGTAACTTCTTTATTAACCCTCTTGTTAAAGAAAATTCTATTCATGATGTAAATGTTAAACAAATTACTTAAATGTCTTTGCAGAAAAGATGCATGAACTACATCTTGTAGAATCTTGTCTTATACAGTACATATTATATGTATATAAGAAATCATATCATATTATATAAGAAAAATACTTTAAAAAAAATTTTAATCTGAAAAATCGTCCAGTCCTACAAGAAATATAGAAACTCAAAACACTAAGTTTCCTTCCGTCATTATATTAAGTAAACCATATGTATACATTATTGAGAGATGTGCTGGCTTGCTGAAGTTGACTAAACTGGAATTGAAAATGAGTTGTGATCACAGAATGAGTAACACTAGAGTTATCTAACTATGCTGAAATCTCATCTCACATTAGCATGTTGAAGAATGCACGGATTATGTTAAAACAGGAAGTGCATTACAAAAAATACGTGTGGTCTTTGAAAGCCAACATGGAGTCATATACTGTAGGACGGCTGAGGTGTTTTTGAGAGTACAAATTGTACTGGTGTAATTAATATGGGGTGTGAGATTCATAAAAAGATTCACTGCAGGAGATAGAAACTGGAAGGTTTTGTTTTGTTTTTTGGAATATCAAAGCATTATACTGACATCATTGAACAAGCGACACTGTGACAGATAATGTCATCGCAAATTGTATTTATTTATTTATAAAGTGTATTTTCTATAATTATCTATTATGCAGCTTTAAATAAAGGTCCTTACTCAAAAAGGAAAATTCGATTTTTTTTTCATAAAAAAAAATACATTCATTCTATGTTGTTAATACTCTTCTTTTCAAAAGTTTGCTGTCATTCATTTCTTAGCTCACCAAGGCTGCATTTATTTAATCAAAAATACAGTAAAAATGGTAATATTGTCAAATATTATTATAAAATTAAAAATAAAAGTTTTCTATTTTAAAGGGGTCCTATTATGCTTTTTCATTTTTTCAACTTTAGTTAGTCTGTAAACACGTAATTTATTCCTGTGATGCAAAGCTGTATTTTCAGCATCATTATTCGAGTCTTCAGAAATCATTCTAAAATGATTGATTTGCTGATCAAGAAACATTTATTATTATTATCAATGTTGAAAACAGTTATGCTGCTTCAAAGCATGATTCTTTGATAAACAGAAATTTAAAAAGAACAGCATTTCTTTAAATTGGAATTATTTTCCACCATTATAAATATCCTGTTTGTCACTTTTGGATCAATTTAAACGTTTGAACAGCAGTTTACCTATAATACATATACTTCTCATCAATTCAACACAGCTACAGTTCACCGAATTATGACTGCGTATGCCATGTAATATCATTTATTCAACAATAAGAGACCGGGGGGGAAATGTACAGGGTGTGAATGATTGTTTGGTTTCTTGTCATCAGTGTTCTGATGATGCAAACTCGTTTTACATATTACACAAATTACTGTTTTGTTGTGTTGCCTCGGTTGCTACACTTATGGATATTTCCCCAATAATCCATTGAAATTAAAAACCGGATATTCTCCACATCACAACCTCCCATTTGGCAAGAGGTGTTTTTATAGGAACATTTGCCTCACATCATTACACTGATTCAAATCCATTTATCAGTTACGTTGGTATGTTACTTGGAACCATTCGCCCTTTAAATCATATCGTAGCTTAACAACTTTAGTCATCCTCTACCTACTGTGTTTACCAGCCGACTCATATTATTATTACAGCAGGCTAGTGATCTACATAAACACCTGAAATATGAAAACTTCTTAAGATGATGACTTATACACTCTAACGCCAAAGATGTAACAAAACCTTAACAACATTGACTTGTTTAAAAGGAATTGCGTGATTTTTAGTGTACTGCTATTAAATAACTTTTAAACACTGTTGACAGTGTGAACCGAAACAGGTGAGGGTGAACCATCCTCGTGAAAATGTCCCTCCTTACTGTGACCCACACTCATCTGATAGGCTTTGTCATTTAATCCCTCCTTTTCTGCCATGGAAACACAGAGACCAAGTCTGGCTTTGTCCAAATACCCACACTTGCAGTCTTTGCACTTCACCACTTGATTACTTAAATGACGTATTTCCTGTATTTGGCCGAAGTATATTAATATTTAACTTCCATTGGAAAGGTTTCCGTGGGTATTTGGACAAGGGGACTGTGTGACTTCCAACTCAGGTGTGAGTGCGGATGGGGGAGGGTAACATGTGATCCACCCAAACCGGTCTCAACTAGTCTGAGAAACAAACAAACGCTTGAGGCTCTTCTGGGAAATATACTGGGGGACTAGATGAAAAGTCAAAGAACTCGAGGCAAGGAAGTGCCAGCCAAGCTATTGTTTGGACATTTCTCTTGAAAAAAGAAGTCGGATTTAATTTAGACTTATGCCACAATAAAAGCTCGTAAAATTTCAGTATGTCACACAAAATGAATGCAGCAACATCTTTGGCAGAGTGTTTGCTGTACACATTGTAACGTGTGCCATTAGCAAGTGTGAGAAAGCTTTTCAATACTAATACGTTGGTCATTCATTAATGTACCCGTTAAAACTGGACAAACTCTTCAACCAAAACAGAATTGGAGTAAACAGCTTCTTGGTTCATGGGAGGAGGTTGCAGTCTTTGTTAGTCAGACCTTTGCACAAATCATACCGCAATGATATAGGAACTTTGCTGCCCGAAACTTGAGGAACAGGTCTGACCTGCATTTCAAACAGCTGAGTGCACAGCTCTCTCATGGGTTTAATTATTAGTCTTTCTGTGCACTTGAATGGTCAGCAGCTTCGAGTTAATAAACAGCCTTTTTGTTTTACATTTTGAAAGAACAAAAAAAGGATTGTACAAATGCACAGGTTTTAGGGGTCTATTATTAGACCCTACAGGCCCTGTATCATTTAATTAAAACACATGCTTATGTCTAAAAAAAAAAATAAGGTGGATAATGCACATGCCACCATTTGTAACTCGCATTACCCAAAGCTTCCGCTATTAACTGTACAAAACCAGTATGTTATGCTGCTTGATAACGCAAACTGGCATGTTATGTTAGTCATAATCATACCAGTTTTTAGTGCAAGCAGTGTTGTCATTTACTGCATGTTTTTATTCAAGTTAAATTTTTTTTTACCTGTAGTGATAACGAATCCGAATTCTCACATTCACAGGAAGTAGTTTTGCAATGCAGAAGTAAATGGTCTACTTGACACTGCATCATTTAAATTTGGACTAGTGTTCTCACACTAAAACTAGTCCCATTCAACAAAGCTTCCATCAGATTTGAATTGTGGTGAATCTCATAAGGCAGAGGACAGGAGCAGCTCAACTGCTTGCCCTGGGCTGAAAAGGACAAAGCATGTGGTTGCAAACAAAAGCTAGGAATAGTTTTGCGCTAGGATAGTCCTTTTCTTTTAGCAACACCAATACAGCTCTATAGATAAAAAGAAATTTGCTTTACTAAGACTACCATATGCATGGTTTATCTGCCACATGCCAGAATATTAACTCATGACAAATGTTTAAACTAATTTTATTAAAAACTTACAAGGCACAAACTGTACAGTGTTAAAACATTGATCCAACTGAAAATGAGCCCTTATTAAATAGCAAAGTGTAACAATTAAAAACAAACTGTACTCGGCGTGTAACAGACACTTAATTTCTAATAAATGTCACAAGCAAATGTACAGCAGGTCTAAGCTTCAGCATGGAGCACATCCCAGTGTCAGACTCAAGTGCATGAGACGTCATTAATAGCTTTAAGATATGGTCTCCATCTCTCTGGGCTGCAAGAACAGAAGGAAAATGTGTTAAAACAAAAGCTTGCCTCCTTTCAGGGGGAAGAACCACACAGTTTGGATCGTACTGAAGTAAATGAACCAACCTGTGCTTTACTGTACTGGGCCTTCTGTCGCCGTGAGAGGAAGAGCTAAAAAAAAAAAAAATGAACAGTGACTACAAGCACACATTAACTTAAATGAAACCCCAAAAATAAACGGCACTTACAATAACCAGAAGTCCTGCAATCACAATCAAGCTGACCACCACAATGACAGCAATGATACCACCAGTCAGCCTCTGCATTGTGAAGGTGGGCGCCTTTTCATCTACATAGTACACCAGGATGTTCTCCATGGACACCTTGGATCCCTCAACACTGACTTCAAATGGTTGAGAGTTTTGAAAGAGGGGCAGAACTTTGACCTGTGAAGACATGAATTTTTGCACACAAGTTACAAAATATAAAAATCAGGCATAACTACTGAGAACTCATAACGAGACTCACATCCTTCTCCATGTAGTAAGTCATGAGGGACAGGTCTGGATCACTGGATCCAATAGGCTTTTTCACATCCACAACAAGGAGACGGCCAGCTTTGTCATACTGGAAAAAGGGGAAGTGGGTTTTGATAGGCGGTGTACCACAAGCACAAAGTTAAGGGGTTGGATAACAATGGTAAATGCTTACCTGAACCGCCGACACAAATTTCTTATCCAACTTGTAACGTTCCTGTAAGGCATTTTCAATCCCACTGCAAAAAAATAAATAAAATAAAAATGGAGAAACATCAGCAAAACAAGACACAAGAGCTTCATATTACACGTTCCAGCAAGACCCTAGAAATCAATTGTAACATACCTTTTCCATTTGGCAACATCGTCAGGAGCAGCCACATCTTTATGCTTCAGTTCCAGACGAACCGAACTAGAGAAGAAAACATGGCATTGTCAGAATTTACAAGTCTTGCTTCCTTCCACAAACAGCAGTGCTATTCTAACCACACTTCAAGCTAGGTGTGTCAGTCAGAAGAACATCCTGTTGACAACAAGTGCACTCACCAGGTCTCCACAGGCTCACACTTGATATTCTTGTCTCCCTTGTCACTTCTGCGCACACCAGCACTGTTGACGCACCAGCACACTTCAGTGCCATTGCACTGGATAGCCTTGAACTTTCCATCTTTCTCACAATCTGGGTCATAGATGCCATCATTGTCCACAAAGGCCGTTTCTACCGGCTTCCCACCAATTGATTTTGTGGACTTGTTGTTTCTGGCGAGAAACATCTCTGCTTTCATAAGGAAGCACTTGGGAATCACTGTGGGTAGGGAGAATTGAAGACGTTTACTACACTTGATAGGAAGAACAAAGCACCTTAATCCTGCCTGGTTTGTCGTTACGAGCTAGGGAACCTGGAACTCAGCTAGGTTAGGTCGAATTACCAAAACTCCTCTAAAACCAGACTGGGAGACAAGTAAGCAAACCAGCATACACTTTTGAAAAACAGTTTTAATAACATTTTAGTAAGGGTGCCAACAATTACCAGTAAAACAATTGATCAAGTAAATATAAAAGGAAAACTCACATTTTGTACAATCAATCAGTTGCTTGTATGTCTTAGTAAATTGAAGAGTGCACTGGCATGGATCTCCATCACATGTGGCCCATTTCATATTGTTACAAGAACCTGTTGGGGGGGGGGGAAGAACAACTGTTTTAAAACCACTAAAACTTTATTCAGTAGATATGTTAAAGCTGAGAAGCATAACCCAGTCCAAGTAAAGCATCCCCACATAGGACTGAAACACACCCTGGATCACATTGTATTGTTTGCCTCCTAAGTACCAAACTATCGACTAGGATTAAACAGTTTGTCAGTTTAACCCGATTTAGTTTACTTTTAAACATCTTACGTTTAAATATCTTGTTTTAACTTAAGTTAGAATAGTTGTTACTTACATTCTGAGGCGACCACTTCCACTAACACCGCAACAAACAAGGCGACTAAAAACTTCATCTTGGTTTTAGAGAGAACTAGGAAAAAAAAAAAAAAAAAAAAGTATCGGCGTTATAAATCACTCCGTACGAGGAACCGATGCTTGCGTTAATCTCCAGAACCTCAGCGCAATTCAACCAGTCTTTAAACAATACAACGCGTAAGTCTTCTTACCGAAGCTTTAAAAGCTAGAAATCGAACCAGAAAGTTATTCCTCTTTTTGTTAAGTCTTGAGCTTAATAACGAATAGATGCCGCAGATATCCTCGCTCTTCCCCGACAAACGACTGATCTAAACGCGAAACAGGTGTCAAATTATGTATACCTGTTTGAGTAACGTTACGTCAGGTGCAAATGGGCGGAGTTAACTCTAAAACACCTCACCTCTTTTTTCGCCCATGCCCATGTATGGCCACTTGACGCATCGAGAGCGAACGCAAAACTTTCTATCTACATTTTGGAAATGTAAAGCACCGATAAGATTTTCGGTTGAAACTCAACATATGCAACTCCAGTACTGCCAGGTGAAACTGCAGTATTTGCTGCAAGGTATATGACAAAGACTAGAAACTAAACTAGATTTAGGACATGACAAGTCTATATAATATTTCTATAATTTCTATAATACTACTTGCATTTCATTCATAATAGTTATTCAAAGTGTCTTATGCATAATAATAAAGAGGGAGCGAGAGAAAGAAACAAATAGTGCATTTTAAAAATAATTGAAGAACAAAAATATTGAAGAAAATATTAAGTAAAGAAAAAGACAATAAAATGCTAAGTCTTATTAAAGAATAAAGAATAAAAGCCTAATTAAAGAAAAAACAGAACTTGTAAGACTATGTTAAAAAAATTACAAGACAACAAACCGTTTTAAGGAAATAAAGTAACTTAAATGTACCTTTTATCACATTTACATTTGATCATTGTTAATGCATTTTAAATGACAGGACTAGTATCTAAAAATAAAATATTCTCTTCTTCAATGTGATATACAATACCCATAAAAGCTTTTAATTTACAAGTTAAAAATAAATAAATAAAAATGTAGAAATATCATGTCTGACCACATGTGGCTTTGAACAAATGGGACAGTGTATAGACATTTGTGAAAGTGACTAACATGCCTGTTACAGTGGGGGAATATTTATTTGATCCCCTGCTGATTTTGTAAGTTTGCCCACTTACAAAGAAATGAAGGGTCTGTAATTTTTATGGTAGGTTTATTTTAACGGATAGAGCCAGAATACCAACCAAAAAATCCAGAAAAAAACACATTATATAAAGGTTAGAAATTGATTTGCATTTCAGTGAGTGAAATAAGTATTTGATCCCCAAGCAAAACATGACTTAGTACTTGGTGCAGAAACCCTTGTTGGCAAGCACAGAGGTAAGACGTTTCTTGTAGTTGGTCACCAGGTTTGCACACATCTCAGGAGGGATTTTGATCCACTACTCTTTACAGATGCTCTCTAAATCCTTAAGGTTTATTGGCTGTCATTTGGCAACTCGAAGTTTCAGCTCCCTCCACAGATTTTCTATAGGATTGAGGTCTGGAGACTGGCTAGGCCACTCCATGACCTTAATGTGCTTCTTCTTGAGCCACTCCTTTGTTGCCTTGGTGGTATGTTTCGGGTCATTGTAATCCTTAAAGACTTATCCATGACCCATCTTCAGTGTTCTGGTTGAGGGAAGGAGGTTTTCGTCCAAGATTTGACGGTACATGGCCCCGTCCATTTGCCACCTCAGTACGGTGAAGTCGTCCTGTACCTTTAGCAGAAAAACAGCCCCAAAGCATAATGTTTCCGTCTCCGTGCTTGACTGTAGGGATGGTGTTCTTGGTGGAATGGAAGATACAGATTGTGTGGACAGGTGTCATTACGAGCTGACATTAGGAGTATCTTCTTAAAGTGGCAGGGCTAATCTGTGTTCCACATGGGCACATAACCAGTCTGTGGGAGCCAGAATTCTTGCTGGTGGGTAGGGGATCAAATACTTATTTCACTCACTGAAATGCAAATAAATTTCTAACCTTTATATAATGTGTTTTTTTTTCTGGATTTTTTGCTTGATATTCTGTTTATATCCGTTAAAATAAACCTACCATAAAAATTACCGACCCTTCATTTCTTTGTAAGTGGGCAAACTTACAAAATCAGCAGGGGATCGAATAAATATTTCCCCCACTATTCAAAACACGTGCATTGCTTATGAGACAATGTCCTCTTTTACCCGGACATGTCCTGGTCGGGATTTCTTAATTGCGTAAAAGTCTGGGTTTTGACTTTGTTTTCCTTTTGTTTTCATACGCGCTGAAGGTAATGATTAAAAAGTAGTTTGACCAATAGCGTGCGGGCATTGTAGATAATCAACCAATCGTGGCACGTGAGATCTACAGAGAACGGTCAAAGCAATGCGAATATGCGTACATATAATGTATGAGGACTGTG